GAGCCCAGCAGGTCGAGGCTGCGGTGGCTAGGAGCAGCCACTGCACTCCAGTCTGGGCGAAAGAGTGAGACTCCAACTCAAAAAAAAAGAAGAAAATTTAAAGCTACTTATGTGGCTTGTATTATATTTTTGCTGGACATCAACTGTTCTGCTGTTCACATTTTGCATTGGCAATTTGAATCAAAACCAAGGAAACTTGGTATTTCACTTAGCTTGTGTAGCTGTTATAGTAGACAAATAACTTCTGTTAGTCCTTTTGAAATACTAAAAATAGGTCAAATATCCCCATTTCTACTCTTCAGACTTCTAGGAAGTCTGTAATTTGCATGTCTCTTTATGTTTGATTTCCCATCCTTGGAGATTCCAGTTGGGATTGAAGACCAAGGGGTTAGATAGGCCTAAACCGAGGTGAAGGAAATGGAGCTGAATTTGCTTCTGAATGAGGTAGTGAGTTTTATTTCCCAAGAGACTAGGATACATGGAGAGAAATCACTGCATTCTGCTTTGTGCTACAGAAAAAGTGTGAGCGCTACTGGGCTGAGCCCGGAGAAACGCAGCTGCGGTTCGGTCCTTTCTCCATATCCTGTGTGAGTAGAGCATCTGTTCCTAGTATGGCCGAGCAAAGGCTCCAGGATGTGCTTTAAAGAGAGCTTGCCTTGGACATTACTAATATTTTAATCTCCTTCTCCTTCTTAGGAGGCCGAAAAAAGGAAATCTGATTATATAATCAGGACTCTAAAAGTCAAATTCAACAGTGTAAGTAAAAAACAAGAGTGAAACTCACAAGCCTGTAGAGACCAGGCAGGTCAATCTCTGTGTGGGTGACTGGGGCTGGGCATAGGACAATGGAGAGTGACAGGGCCTCTGATGTCCTGGATAAGTCTCATATTCAAGAGCCCTTCGGTGTAATCTGTGCTCCCCAATCTATTCTACAACATGGCACACGTGTAAAATGGTGTTTGCAGAGTGATTATAGGCTGAACTGTGAATGGAGGCTGGGGACCACACTGAGTGCTCCGGTTGCCCTAGGCTTCTCCAAAGCTGAGGTTTTAATACTATCAGGATGCTTGCAACTCTCATGAGGCCCACCAGCTGGGAAGCTTCGTTTGAGCTATTTTCCTATCTACCTTCTCTTCTGAATGGAACAGATGGGGACAAGCCAGTAGTGAGTGACCTGAAATCACTTTAAATTGTTCTCTGAAAACACTTGGTCACCTGAGACATATGGAGAAGAAAGCAGAGGGAATTGCAAAAAGGACATAGATACAACTTGGTAAAGTCAGACTAATCTTTTGATGGAGTCCTAACCTTGAACTTTCTTTTTATCCTGGCTATTTTGATAGGAAACTCGAACTGTTTACCAGTTTCATTACAAGAATTGGCCAGATCACGATGTGCCTTCATCTATAGACCCTATCCTTGAGCTCATCTGGGATGTGCGTTGTTACCAAGAAGATGACAGCGTTCCCATATGCATTCACTGCAGGTAGGATGCTATGTGTCAACCATCTATCTACCTAGAACAAACCAAATATCAGGGTCTAATTGAAAGGGAAAGGCCAATAGCAGAAACAAACTATTATACATTCGGCCTGAGTATTCAATTCCTTTTTTTCTGGAAATTTACTTGTGATCAGCCCAGCTTTAGGGACTCTTACTCGGAGAAGTCGTCTAGGACCTGTCTTGAGGTTCACCTTGGGAAATGGTAGGGTTTGAAAAGTGTCATTGTTGGTCAGGTGCGGTGACTCAAGACTGTAATCCTGGCACTTTGGGTGGCCGAGGCGAGTGGATTGCCTGAGCCCAGGGGTTTGTGGCCAGCCTGGTCAACTTGGCGAGACCTCGTCTCTACAGTAAATCGAAAAATTATCTGGGTGTGGTAGCACGCCTGTAGTTCCAGCTACTTGGAAGGCTGAGGCAGAAGGATCGCCAGAGCCCAGCAGGTTGATGCTAGGTGGCTGTGAGTGTGCCACTGCACTCCAGTCTGGGTGACGGAGTGAGACTCCAACTCAAAAAAATAAAAGATGTGTCATTGTCTCTAGACTTCTTTCTCAAATCAGATGGTAAGATCTTCCAGTTGCTGTCAATGATCCACCCTCTACAAGCATATATACTACTGTGATCTTTCATTTCAGTGCTGGCTGTGGAAGGACTGGTGTTATTTGTGCTATTGATTATACATGGATGTTGCTAAAAGATGGGGTGAGTTTCTCTCAGCTGGCACTTTCCATGGGCTTACTCCACTGCTTTCAGACTTAGGAGTTGTTTGGTGTTTCAAAGTAGCTATTTTCATGATTCATCTTTTCTAGAAAATTCACTCATAGAACTGCTTGGAGAAGGTTCAACTAGTTCCTAAGCGGTTTCTAAAGTGTGGTCCCCAGACAGGAAGCACCAGCATCAGCTGAGAATTTGTTAGAAATGCAAATTATTGGGCCCCCCCCCCACGGATTACATCAGAAACTTTGGAGGTGGGGCTAGCAGGTTCTCCAGGTGATTCTGATGCACGCTGAAATTTGAGAACTACTGCCCTAAGTCACATGGTTACCCTTCCATTATCCAAATGGCTTTAGTAGGTGGACCCAACTTACCACAATCAAGTTTTGTGTTCCAATCTATATGTCATTTTCAAATGTCCCTAGGAAACGGGAAGTTTAAAATATGGGCTGTGGACCTATCTGCCAACTTCTTTTATTTTATAAAACGCTCACTCTTGCTCATCTACTGAGCCTTGTCTTTCATTATGTCTTTAGTTTGAGACATTTGATGACACTATGTGAAATCATTCTGAAGAATTTCTTCGGGCTTTTCTAGGGAAAACACAAGTGATAAGAAACCTTAAACCTCAATCATTTTATAAATGCATCCTTTTAAAAAAAAATCATCCCATGTTAGAAGAGCAGATGGAGAAGTATAAGGCTATGAAAAAGTGGTAATAATTTATTAACAAAGACTCAAAAGAATAAGATATTTTTCCCTTTAATTTGATAGATAATTCCGGAGAACTTCAGTATTTTTAGTTTGATCCAGGAAATGCGAACCCAGAGACCGTCTTTAGTCCAAACGCAGGTATGAACTCTGGTAAATGAACTAGCATATGTACCTGGGCTTTGCTCCAAGTCTGTGTTTAATGGTAAGGCACCCCAAAACAGTCGACTGCTCAGACATACACCAATTTACTATGAAGTGCTTTCAAGTCCATTGCCATTTTCTCTAACTCTGAATATCCCAGTCCTTTCCCTGTATTCCCTGTCCTGGGTTAAATTCCTTTCATTGCTTATATTTAACTGTTCAGAAAATATTAAGAAACCAAGATGATTTCTTACTTACCAAAGATGTTGGAAAAACAATTCAACAAGCTGTTTGACTTAGAAAGAAATCGCTGGGTCATGTTAGCTTGTTTTGTAGTAATAACATTCATCTCTGAAACCACTAAAAACCAAGGATTTGTCATTTCTACTTCAGGAGGTGGTAACAGACTCTGGAGAATTCAGTCTATGTGCTCATTTTAAGAAACACTGAAAAATAAAAATAATATGGACCGCATTCCTATTACGTAGAGAGAACCACTGTTACTATTTTTCTATAATTTCTCCTGGTCATTATTGTATGCATATTTTAAAAAAACATAATTACAGTCATACTATATTTATGTATCATAATCTTTTAACCCATCCCAGATGTGCCCACATTTGTTCTGTCTGTTAGGAATGCTCTTCCCTTCTCTTCCCGACCCAAATCTCTCAATGTCTCCAATATTAATGACATCCATAGTTCTCCACCAATAATTTCACTCACATTTCTAAGTGGTCTCTATCTTTAATACAGAATGTAGCATTTACCATTCATTCACCAAATGTTTATTGATGTTTATCATGTAACAGGTACCTCTGCCTAATTTGCTAGAATCACTTTTTACTACTTAAATATCAAGAGCCTATGGTTTTTAAAACACAAATGAATGTGCACATAGAATTAGAGATAAAGCAATTGACAATGGCAGTTCAGATATTTTATCTAGAAGTTGTCAATTGAAGGGAAAACTGAAGAGCTTGTTTTACACGGTTTTCCATCAATTGCTGGTGGAAAACATAATTTCTTTTATTTTCTTGACTGTAGGTGTTTTCTATAGTCAACCTTTGAGGGGGAAAGTTTATGAGAAATGAAAGCATTAGCTGATTTAGTGCTGTGAGAGTTGAAAGAAGGCTAACGCATATGAATGCATAAGGACTCCAGGAAGTATGCTAGTTACAGAAATCGTAATACTAAATTAGTAAGACCATACCCCATTTCAAAAAAATCCATTTCAGGACTGCTTTTAAGAATTGGAAGACAGCTGAAAAAGCTTTCACATGTTGGCATTATCAACAACTGACTGAAAAAATATCTTTTTTTTTTGAGTTGGGGTCTCACTCTGTCACCCAGGCTGGAGTGCAGTGGCACGCTCACGGCCATCGTAGCCTCGACCTGCTGGGCTCAGATGGTCCTCCACTTTAGCCTTCCAAGTAGCCTGAACTACAGGTATGCGCCACCATGCCCAGCTAATTTTTTTATTTATTCTAGTGACGAGGTCTTGAACCCTTGGGCTCAGGCAATCTTCTCACCTTTGCCTCCCAAATTGCTGGGATTATAGGCATGAGCACCCCTGAGCTCGGCCTGAACAAATATCTTAACAGCTGTAGCTGCTTTTTCTGAACTACTCAACCCAGGAAATGGCTCTGTACCAGAAGACTGCTTCCTGTCTGATTTTTCTCCCTTAGAAAAATTGAAGAGTGTATCAATGGCTGTGTTGGGTGATACAGACTGCATTGTTTCCTGCTAAAATTATCTTTGAAAAAAATTGTTCTTTATTTGTATAGGACTGTAAAACATTGGGGAAACCGCAGAATAGGCCCATTCAGATAAAGAGTAGATCTCAAATCAAGTGTTTGAGCAGGTAGAGAGGTAAAGCCTTAGTGGTAATAATCCATAAGGCTTATAATAGTAGAGGTCTCATTTCTCTGCAGTGAAAGCATTTTATAACCACAAATGTCCAAACCTTGTTCAGTGGTTTTCTTTGGTAACTTTACTAGGACAAAATTTCAGCAACTTGATCTAAGATCTAAATGATTTAAACTAAGAGTCAGGAGATTCTGTTTCTAAGCCAAGTCCTGGAAATTAGTTCTGAATGACTATGGATAAATTGTCTGAAGATTAAACAGGTACACTACTTTATAGAGTAAATGTGAGGATCAAGTTAAAGAATACATATTGAAGTGATCTATCTTTTCACCAGCCTTGATAAAGAAGAGATAAAGGTGGCTTACAAAAATGAACTCTAGGATGAAATAACAATTTTTAAATGTGGACAAGGAAAACAGAATTAGAAGTATGATGGTAGAGGGAAAGATAAGTAAGCAAGTGAGTTTACAACGTAAAAGAAACATGTCATTAATTAGAGGTATATCAAATATTTAACTATTTCTAGCAGCTTGAAGGTGCTTTGAAATGTGAAGTGGGCTACACAAGTATAAAACATTGTTTTAAGTTTAGTAACTCATGTTGATGGTTCTTTCAGGTCTGCTATATTTAGGATTTCATTGGTGCTCATATTCCTGAAGTTTGGTCCTGTAGTTCACCAGGTTTTTTCTTTTTCATTTGTTCCGGTTTGTGATGCACTCCAGGAACAGTATGAACTGGTCTACAATGCTGTATTAGAACTATTTAAGAGACAGATGGATGTTATCAGAGATAACCACTCTGGAACAGAGGTAAAGTTTAAACTAGATATTATGTCAACATTTTTAAAAATATCAACTTTTGATCAAAGTATCTCAGATTAGCTGCAGGACTTACCGTTTGTCACAACTAGATTGAGAGTGTCAGATGTGTATAGGACTGCACTAAAAATCTGTGGGGAAGGACAAATTAATTTAATGTAATTTAATTTAAAAAATTAATCTCTTACTTAACCTACGGCATACAATTTTCAGCTAAATTTAAAAACAATAGGAGTGATTAAAAGAGCAAATGTAGATTCTGTTCCCATGTTTTAGACAGATGAGTTAGAAGTGATAGTAGCAGCCAGGCTCGGTGGCTCAGCCTGTAATCCCAGCACTTTGGGAGGCCGATGTGAGTGGATCGCCTGAGCCCGTGGGTTTGAGACCCGCCTGGGCAACTTGGCGAGACCTCATCTCTACAATAAATAAAAAAATCAGCCGGGCGTGGTAGCGCGTACCTGTAGTTCCAGCTACTTGGAAGGCTGAGGCGGAGGGATCGCCGGAGCCCAGCAGGTCGAGGTTGCGGTGTCCGGGAGCAGCCACTGCACTCCAGTCTGGGCGACAGAGTGAGACTCCAACTCAAAAAAAAAAAAAAGTGATAGTAGCAAATATAAAATGAAGTCACAGTTGAGTGATTTTTAGGGTTCCACTAGCCTTACTTTGATTATAAATGTCTCATAAACATTTTTTTAATTGGTAAATAAAAACTGTATATTTATGGTGTACAATATGCTTTGATATATGTATACATTGTGGAATGTCTACATCAAGCTGATTAACATACCATTCCTTCACATACTTATCATTTTTGTGATAAGAACATTTAAAATCTACCCTCTTAGTAATTTCCAAGTATACAATACATTGTCATAGCACCATGTAGTACAATAGATCTCTTGAAGGTATTCCTCCCATCTAATGAAGTTTTGTATCCTTTGACCAACATCTCCTCAACCCCACCTCCCCCAACTCTCCCTCCAGACCCTGGTAACTACTGTTCTACTCTCTGCCTCAATTAGTTTGACTGTTTTTTTTTAGAGTTCACATGTAAGTGAGGTCATGCAGTATTTGTCTTTCTGTGTCGGGCTTATTTCATTTAGCATCCATGGTTCCGGGTTCATCCACGTTGTCGCAAATGACAAGATTCTCTTCCTTTTTTTTTTAAGGCTGTACGGTATTCCATTGTGTATATATACCATATTTTTTTTTAATCCATTCATCCACTGATGGACACCAAGGTTGATTCTGTATCTTGGCTGTTGTGAATAATGCTGCAATGACCATGGGAGTGCAGACATCGCTTTGACACAGCGATGTCATTTCCTGTAGATACACACCCAGAAGTCCAATTGCTGGGTCATATGGTAGTTCTATTTTTGATTTTTAAGGACCCTCCATGTTTTTTTCCATAATGGCTGTACTAATTTATATTCCCACCAACACTATACAACTGTTCTCTTTTCCCCATCTTCACTCCAGCACTTGTTATCTTGTTCTTTTGATAGTAGCCATCCTAACAAGTCTGAGATGATAGTTGACTGTGGTTTTAATTTGTACTTCCCTGGTGATTAGTGATGTTGAACAAATACCTGTTATGGCCATTTGTATGTCTTATTTTGAGCAATCTTTTTAGGTCCTTTGTTCATTCTAAAATCAGGTTATTTGTTTTCTTGCTATTAAGTTGAGTTCCTCATATAGTTTGAATATTACCTCTTTGTCAGATGTATTGTTTCTAATTATTTTCTTCCATTTCAAAGGTTGCCTCTTCATTCTGTTGATTGATCTGTTGCTTGCTTTGCACCATTGAATTTTGAGAATATTTTAGAATAGCCAATGAATTTTCAGCTGAAGGTCTAAGATATAAAACAATTATGATTTGGCCAAATGCCAATTTAAAAATACTGAGAATTCTAGGGCATGCCATTTTGATCTCATCACAAAATTGATGTCAAATACTGTGTAATCACAAAGTGCTCGGTTTCGAACAGATCTTAACAAGACAAAATTACTACTTTATCTTCGAGTAACATATACATTTCAATACATGAGCTGAAACTTTGATCAGGAATGAAGTCTCCTACCCACAGTGTCAGTGGAGACCCTGTGTGGGAGCGCAGTTTTCCACCTGGGAGTGAACATAGCACCCCGATGCCTCCTCACTCGAGTGATATCAGAAGTGGCCTAGTGGAGAGTCAGGACTTTCACCATCCTCCAGTGAGGACGAGGCCATCCCACCACAGTGTCAGTGGAGACCATGTGGGGTGCCTCACTACGCTGTCTCCCCTCAAGTGTCCACAAAGGACCTGGTAGAGGCAGAGGACCTGGCAATAGTGAGGCAGCACCTTGTACCCTTTCCTTGGCTAGAGCAGTATCAAAAAGCACCAGCAAAAGAGGAGATTTAACTAAGATCCAGAGTCTCAAAACAATGTGAAAATAAATATTCAGGTTTCAGTTAAAAATCACTTATCACACCAAGAACCAGGAATTTCTCAGACCGAGTCTTAAAAAAGACAATAGGTGACAACACTGAGATGACAGAGGTGTCAGAATGATCTGACAAAGATTTTAAAGTGGGTTCAATGAGCAACTAAAAACATGCTAAAACGGGTCACCCGGCTGCACGGTCCGTGCGGGGCAGAGGGGCGAGGCCAGGACGACTGCCCGGGGCCAGGCGTGTTGCCGCAGGACTGGAGGGCTTGAGGGGCTGCCTCTGAGGCCGTGGATGGGACCCGCAGACCTTTGCATTTAGTGATAGTGAACTCCCCAGGCCTCCTGTGGCCAGTGGCTGAGACCCCCACCCCAGCCCCCTCGGCAGCCCGTGGCGTGCCTCGATGAGGGACACGTGCAGCTTCGTGTTCGCGGTGACCTTCAGACCGCAGAGTCCTAGTGGCTGTGGTCTTAGAGGAGGACGTTTCTCAACCAGGAAGAAAGAACTCAAATCACTCTATAAAAAAGATACCTGCACACGTCTGTTTATCACAGCAGTGTTCACAATAGCAAGCACGTGGAACTAACTGTGCTGCCCATCTAAAGAGGACTGGATGAAAAAAATGTGGTACATATGCACGATGGAATATTAAGCACCCATAAAGAAGAACAGATCATGAACTTCACAGCAACTTGGATGGAATTCGAGTTTATAAAACTGAGTGATCTTTCACAGAAACAAAGGTCTGAGTATCACATGTTCCCACTCATAAGTGGGCCCTGAACATCTACCATACTACTATAGGAAGAGGAGTAGTTGATATCTGCCTGGGCAAGGGGGACACACTTCATCAGCAAGGGCACCTGCACAATGAATATTTGTATCCCTAATCCTGAATTGTACCCCACAATTTTAAAATAAAAATCATTGTAATAAAAAGAAAAGAAAGACTGGGCCTGCCACACGTGCCTGGGAGACACCATCTCCTGCTGACTCTGCAGCTAACTACGTCTGGCCAAGTGGGCCAGCATATTCTTAGTCCCAGTTAATTTTTACTTTCTCACCACTTTACCCTTGGCAGCGAGGAGAGCTTCCCTGAGCAGTGGAGGAGGGTCCTGGTCACTCTCCATGCTCATGACATTGGTGCCAAGGGACAGAAAGCAGAGCAGTGGTTGCTGGGCTGGCTGAAAAGCAGCAAGGGAATCCTAGAGGCTGAGGAAAGCATTGTGTGACCTTTTCTTTTTGAGGCGGAGTCTTACTCTGTCGCCCAGGTTGGAGTGCAGCCGCACGCTCATGGCCATCGCAGCCTTGACCTGCTGGGATCTGGCAATCCTTCTGCCTCAGTCTTCCAAGTAGCTGGAACTACAGGTGGGCGCCACCAGGCCTGGCTAATTTTTATTTGTTGTACACATGAGGTCTGGCCAAGTTGCCCAGGCTGGTTTTGAACTGCCGGGCTCAGGCAATCCTCTCATCTCAGCCTCCCAAAGTACTGGGATTACAGGTGTGAGTCACCTCGCCTGGCTCTTTTTTTTTTTTTTTTTTTTTTTAGTTTTATTATAGAGACGTGGGTTACACGTGAGGATTTGCTACATAAGTAGGTTGTAGACAGGTGAAGTTTGGGCTTCCAACTGGCCCTCACTCCCCTGTTAGTGGTCCGGGTACCCTTTGTGTTGTCATGCGCTGCCCACCTAGCAATGCCCAGTGAATGCCAATCCCTCCCTTGTGCTCAGGTGACTAGTGTTCAGGTCCCACTTACGACTGGAAATATGCTATTCGGTTCCTTGTTTCTGTAGTCTGATGGTCTCCAGCTCCATCCGATTTGCTGTGAAGTCCATGATTTTGTTATTTATGGCGGAGTGTGTATATATCACATATTCTTTATCCAGTCCACTTTCCATGGGCAGTAGGGTTGCTTCCATGTTTTTGCTATTGTGAATAGAGTGGCAATAAACATGCACGTGGCAAAAAAAAAAAAAAAAAGCTAAAACAAATAAAAAATAGAAAGCCTCAGCAGAAAAAGTCTCAGTAAAACAAAAAAAAAATCCAAAAAACCAAAATATAAAGAGAACCACATGGAAATTTTAGAATGTAAAAATACAGTAATTGAAACAAAATAGCTCAGTAGATCAGTTCAACGACAGAGGTAAGGGTACAGAGGAAATAATTGACAAACTGAAAGGTAAAACAATAGAAATTGCCCAGTCTGAACAACACAGATAACACAGACAGAAGTAAAGAAAGAAAGAAAGAAATAAACAAACAGATCCTCAGGGAACTAAGAGACTCTAACAAAAAAAAATCTAGCATTGTGTCATCAAAGTCCCAGAAGGAGAGGATGAAGAGAGTGGGGTTAAAAAATGTCCTGGAAGATGCACCCTAACTTAACTTTTGTAAACCAAAGACAAAAGTTCTAGAGAGCAGCCAGAAAAAATGACACCTTAACTGTAGGAAGAAAATAATTAGAGTGACAGCAGTTTCTCACCGGAAACCATAGCGACCAGAAGCACAATATTTTTCATGTGATGAAAGACAAGTACTTTCAAACCAAAACTCTACATTCAGT